GTTAGTGAGAAAAGGATAGCTCTCTATTTTTTATAGGGCAACCTGCTTCCACCGGCTATACCCCAGGGACGCCGAGAGCTAGGACTGATCTGGTGGATTCTAGGGGAATGACGTTAGGCACGGAACTAAACTTTACTAGAGTAATTTTACTGGATGTTAATTCTAGGGATATGAGCATGCGCAATTAGATATATTCAATTTTGAGGGTCTTCAGGGTTTTCAAGCAGAGCAATTAGTTGATCTATATCCAAATTGCCGTCTAGAAAATCGGTAATAAGTCTAGCGATTAAAGTTAAGATTTGCTCGCGCATGCGACTTACTATGGCTTGAACTTGCTCATCAGTATATAAAGGTTTCATTATTCGAAAATTAATGGAACATCTTGCATTGCTGATTAATTATGAATCTAAATATCTAGCGTATTCATCTATTTTTAAGTGTTCTTCAGGCAATTGGTTTTTTAACTGAGAAATCAGGTCCCGGGGAGTTGTTTGATTTTTGTTGCGACAACTTCCTTTAAAATGATTTATATTTTGATACAATTCGTTTACTAATATGAATTCCGGGTGTATAAGTGAAAAGAAATATTAATAGGAATATTAATAGTAGCAAAAGAGAATAATAATGGAGTTGAGCGCGTTGATTGAGGGATTTTATCGATTACGGATAAAAGTCGTTTGTACGTTTCATACGATTCTGAATTTTAGTTCAAAGGGAAGGTCTAAGTCGTAGAAAAGGGTCAGTCTAGGGCATACTTCGATGCTCGATAGACGAAGGATGTCTAGGGCACAGTATGTGCTCAGTAGACGAAGGGATTATTAAAGTTGACTGACTAGGAAACTGTCAGCAACGTGCAAATTCTTGACAGGGGTTTGTTTTATTATCAAAAGTGATGGAATAGGAACAGAGGTAATGGTTTGGGGCAAATGGGCTGTCAGTCAATTGTTGAAATAATCTTGAGAATATAAGGGGTGTTAGTAATTGCGGGTACTTACTGCGTTGTAGCAAGTAATCTTTCTTTTAACTCAATGTACTTTATACTTGAATATGGAAAAACTATAGTATAGTACGGGAAACTATAGTATAAACTATAAGGTAATATAAAAAAAATTATATTAATATTATTAGCTTTATGGACTCACTTGTTAAATTTGTTCCATGTCTGGTAATTAATTTGGAAATTCAAGTTTTAGTATTTCATAGTTGAAAGGAGTTATTCCAAATAAATTGTTATCATGTACTATGTAGTCCGTGATTCCATAAATATAAGTTTCTTAGATCTATATATTATTCGCAATCGCATGGTTAAAGCTACTACCAAGCATCCCAGTAAGCAATTTGATAACAAATTGTTGTCAAATTGGCATCAAATTCGCTCAAAACTTGGTAACAAATCCAGTGCCATCTGTGTCCGCATTAAGCTTGTGTTTTGGTGACAAAGCTTGCTGACATAACCTGACAGCAAATTGACGGCAAAAACCGAGCATGATTAATAATGGAAATAAAGGCAAATGGTTAAATAATTGCTCTATATTCCATAGGCATAATGCAATAATAGATGCGGTGCTTAATTATTAGTTGAAATATGGTTTTGAAAAATGACGGGACGTCACACCGTTTTAAGCACGATCTGAAGTGTCGGTCTACAATAGGTGATTTAAGCCTTAAGCCTTAGTGCCGGTCTACAATAGTGATTTAAGCTCTAAGCCTTAAGAAATTGACTAATCACAGTCGAGTATTCTCCTCATACTTGAACGTGATTGGTCAATTTCTTAAGGCTTAGAGCTTAAATCACTATTGTAGACCGACACTTAAGAACTTGACCAATCACAATCAAGTATGAGGAGAATACCAGACCGGCACTAAGATGTCCTAAACCAATCACAGAGCCGTATTAGCATCTTAAGACATTGCTTAAACGGCATTCTACAATGGCAGTAGGCAGTACAGAGTGAGGAATAAGATTTTAAGAGTTGGTTTTAAGAGCAAATGGGAATTGCTCATTACTCTCGATCTTTACATCACTAAAAACAGTATACTCTCCTACTCCTACAGCCTTGTTACTGCCATTGTAGAATGCCCTTTAGACGGTCTTAAAATAAAAACTGACTATGAATACCGGCCTATGACCTTTTAAGATTGTACTTAAGTGCCAGTCTACAATAGGTGATTTAAGCCCTAAACCTTAAGAAATTGACGAATCACAATCAAGTATGAGAAGAATACTCGACTGTGATTAGTCAATTTCTTAAGGCTTAGGGCTTAAATCACCTATTGTAGACCGGCACTTATGCCCGTATCAGACTACGCATTGAAAATTGAAGATTGAAGATTAAAGATTGGAATTTGACTAATCAGAACAAAAGGTCTACAATGGCAGTAACAAGGCTGTAGGAGTAGGAGAGTATACTGTTTTTAGTGATGTAAAGACCGAGAGTAACGAAATGGACAATTCCCATTTGCTCTTAAAACCAACTCTTAAAATCTTACTCCTCACTCTGTACTGCCTACTGCCATTGGTTTAGTTTCCACCGAAGTATTAATTCGCATCTAGCACGGCGTAGGACCGCGGTTTCCACCGAAGTCATCAATCCGATTCTGTTTCGGTGCGCATCGAATTTAACGTTTCCATCGACTTAAATTTAGTCCTACGCCGCGCTAGATGCGAATTAATACTTCGATGGAAACTAGACCATTATAGACGACGCATAAAGGGCATTCTACAATGGCAGTAACAAGGCTGTAGGAGTAGGAGAGTATACTGTTTTTAGTGATGTAAAGACCGAGAGTAACGAAATGGACAATTCCCATTTGACATTTTCACATCTTGGACACGTTATTTCGCCACGAACAACTTTCTTCTCACACAAAAAATTCCACAAAGATTCAAAATTGTATGTCAAATTGATAAATTCGTGCAAATGCATGTTGAAAATTAAGGAAATCTTGAAATTATCCAACTGACTGATACACGACTATATGACATACTGAGACTGGTGATGTAGATACATGTTAAGGGCAGTCTACAATGGCAGTAACAAGGCTGTAGGAATAGGAGAGTATACTGTTTTTAGTGATGTAAAGATCGAGAGTAACGAAATGGGCAATTCCCATTTGCTCTTAAAACCAACTCTTAAAATCTTACTGCCATCCTACTGCCATTGTAGAATGCCCTTAAGAAAATCGACCAATTCCAATCGAGTATTTGGCTCTCCGTAACTCCTTCACTTTTACGAAAAGCCCAATACTCGATTGGGATTGGTCAGTTTTCTTACGCTTACGTTTTATGTCCTTACGGAATTTTGGGTGTGATGGCCTTTATGAATACCGGCCTCGGTCTAGATATATTATGTCCATGGTTTACATACACTAGATTTTCAGTATTGGCAGCATAGACATAGTATATACATATATATACATATACATATGTATATATATATATATACATAGTATATCTAGACCGAGTGTTGAGGAGTGAGGGCCAAGGTGCACATAGAAAAAGACATACTCTGTTCCGTGCCCTTTGCGTTCTCTCTCACTCTCATGTAGCATAGCGAAAGAGTACGCTATGCTAATTCCTCTGAAGAATGGAATGACTGTGATTGGCCAGCCTTCGAACTACGAATGTTATTAAACCCGATTAGGGCCGGTATTCATAGTCCGTTCTTATATTCAAGATCGTCTTAAGTACGATCTTAAGATACTATGCGGCCATTTCATTGGTTGAATGGGATCTTAAGACGACCCAAGACCACACTTAAGACGATCTTGGATATAAGAACGGACTATGAATACCGGTCTAGATATACTATGTCTATGAATACAACTAAACATAACACTATATATGTACGAATATTCAAGATGGCGACGAATTGGTCCGTCATGCCATTTGGCAAACCTGACCACATACGGAACATTTTTCGTGACCACTTTTTTTCTCTCTACACTATCGAGATAACTCTCCTTACTCTTCCTTCATGGCTATGCATATGCAGTTATGTCAATTTGTGTGCGATAGGCTTATGCCCGTATCAGACTACGCATTGAAAATTGAAGATTGAAGATTAAAGATTGAAATTTGACTAATCAAAACAAAAGGGACTAAAATTTCTTTGTCCTGATTGGTCAAATTTCAATCTTCGATCTTCAATCTCAATCTTCAATGCGTAGTCTGATACGGGCTTTATGTCCATGATTGGCAGTGAATATCGAAACATAGCCGTAGTATGCAATTAAGAAATAAGTTTTTTGTGAAAAGATCTTTTAGTTTTTGTAAGTATACTTTTATATTTTAAAAATCAATAAATTATTATGGTTATTACGATTTTAAAAAATTTTGTATAAAGCGGCGTAACGAGATTGTTAAAAATTGCTGATATATATTTCAGGTAAATAGTAACGTTATATTAAAAAGATATATAATTCGTGATGTCGTTGTCATTGGATGCAATTGCCCATAACACAGCTAAGACAGTTATAAACTTGAATATTTTAAGACAGATAGAAAAAGATCTTGATATAGACGAGAAAATTTCTGTATTATTTTTAATAATAGAAGATTATGCAAATGTATTTAGAGATATTTTTGATCTTTTTCAAAAAGCAAAGACAGAAAATTCATACATAATTATAGATTATGTAAAGAAGTATCCAGAAAATTGGGAAGATAAAATTTTAGAAGCATTATGCATTCTAAATAATCGAGAAGTAACAAGGAAATTAAGAATATCATTTAACGATTTAGATTTACAATATGTTCCAAAGATCAGATCATATTCAAAAAATATAAATATAGTTGCAAAGTGCTTATATAGACTATGTGAATCTTTTAATGAAAGTGAGCAAAAACTATTATTAAGCTATATTAAATCTGATAACTCTAATTATGAATCATTACTGGATGATATAGATTATCTTGAATTGCATATGTTATATTGGATGCAAATTAAATACATTACAATTTCAAAAGGTATACATTTAATTTATTATTTAATTTTTGAGAAGTAAGCTTTTAATGCAAATAGATAAACTAAAAATATATTTTAAAATATAGAAATTTTATTGATATAATATTGATAAAAATATTTTAGTTGTATACATTTCTCAAAATATATATGTGGTGACAATTAAGAAGTTGCTAAAACTAAAGCATTATATCTCTTCTCTATCTTCTCATGCATATTTGTATCTATCAATTTATGAGTTAGAGACATGTCTATTTCATTCTAACTGTTGCCGAAGTCATATACGATTAGTTATGAGTGCTATCACAGTGCACAAAAAAATTTCATTGAGTGCTATTATACAGAAGAGGCAAACCATGTGAATGCATATTGTGGAACTATTCGGCTATTATTTAAGAACAAATGGATAGAATTTCAGAAATCAAATTGTTTTGAGTACAAGAAATCTATCATTTTTATTAACATACAATGCAAAAATTATATAAAGCAATTTAATAATCAAATTTTATATAAAAAGAAGTAAAAACGATTATAAGCAAAATTTAATTATCAAATTGGTTTATATAATTTTTGTACTGTATATTAACAAAATTGACAGGTTTTTTGTACTCAAAATAATTTGATTTTTAAAATTTTACCCATATTTGTTCTCAAATAACAGCCAAATAGTTTCAGCAATTTCCTAATATCACCCTGTAGCAACTCATTCTTATAACAAAGCTATGACATAATTTATAAAGTAATAAAGTATAAATCAGTAAAAGTTTAAACCACTCATGTGACTATAAATACTCTTTCATTTTCATTTACCCAATATAGGCTCAATATATATATTTATTACCTGTTATAAATTATATTACATGTTTTTATGCAAAAGATTTTAATATTTAAAAGGGAATATCTGAAAATAATACACATATAATGTAAAGGAGAGATAATTTTTATAATTAAAAAACACTATTATATAATCACTATATATAAATACTATTATAGAATCAGACAGGATATAGCAAGTTTAATGTGAGCATTATAACTAATTATATGAATTTTATTATCATAAATTTTTTACATATAATTCTATTTTAGATGAAAAGCATAATATGGAAAAATTATTAAAACATTTGAAGAAATTCGAAAATTTAAAAATAATTTCCATTGATTTGGAGAAATTTGAAAATCGATTGCATGTCGTTGATACTCATGGAAATTTTGGGATAAATGATAAAAACTATCTTCATCCAATTTTCCTAGAAGGATCATTTCTTGCAGAAAAAAATAACAAAAAGAAAATACAACCTATTAATAATGGATTATGTATTATTATAAACCAGATATATTTTGGAAAAGAGGTATCTTATTAATATTTAATACAAAAGAAATTATTTTATTTTGTAATTTTTCTGTTTTCTTTTAGTATGAGACGCGATTTGGAAGTAGTACGGATTGTAATAATTTATCTGAAACATTTCAAGCTTTTGGATTTAAAATAGAGATATTTGAAAATCTAAAGAGAAAAGAAATGTTAGAAAAAATAAAAAATATTTCAAAAGACCATGATAACAAGTATGATTGTTTATTTCTTTGCATTTTAAGTCATGGATATAGAGGTAAGAATAGAGTGTAATTATGATATATACTTAATATAGTGATTTTTTTTTGAAGAAATGTGTGTGTGTGTGTGTGTGTCTACATCTTAAAATACATAAAATATGTATGTCTTATAAAATAATAGTGATGAGAGCAATATACATATATATCACATATTATGCAAATGTATTATGTTTATTTTCTATACCTTATTAATATTTTATATTTATAATGAATTGTAAATGATAAATTTACATTACAGGAGGTGTAATTTCATCAGATGAAAAAGAAGTTTCACTGGAAGAAATTGAAAAAGCTGTATGTTGTATGGAATTGAAAGATGTTATAAAAATTGTTATCATACAAGCTTGTCAAGGAAAGACACGTGGTAAGAAAACAAAATTAAACAAAAATGAAAATTGCAATAAGAAAAAGAAACGTATATTTGAAAAAATTAAATATTGTATATCCATAATAAAAAGTTGTGAACAGTTTTGTGTATATTGATAATGAGAATTTTATTATTTTGTAAGATACAAAAACTCGAACTCTTGAAATACATACAAAACTGTAGAGTATGTTATAGAAATTTAAATTTTTCAAATGCCTCGATTAATGTTCTCTCTTAAGGGGTCTTTCTAGTTTGACGCTCTGAAAATAAAGGCGATTTTTAGGAATTTTTTAAAAGAAAAGTATAAAACATTAATTCTAAACTTTGTACATTTATTAAATAATATTTCAAATATATCCTAAATTTTTTTCGAACAAAAATGTTTGTTTCGGAATTATAGTAGTCCAACCAGGATGGCCAAAAAAAACGGCGGACATGATTCTAACCGTTATAATCATCTGAAATAAAAAAACCAAAAAGATTCTTAATCTATATGAATGTGATTATCGTGTGAACTAGAATTAAATCGATATTTGCAAAATTCAAATTTTTCGACTTACAAAACATCAATTTTTTGATGAAAAATGGAATTTTTTTTTTAGACGCCATTTTTTCATTTTTCAATATTTTTTTTTATTCTAGTTCACACGATAATCACACTCTTACAGATTAAGAATCTTTTTGGTTTTTTTATTTCGGATGATTATAACGGCTGGAATCATGTTCGCCATTTTTTTTAGCCATCCTGGTTGGACTACTATAACTCTGAAACAAATATTTTTGTTTGAAAAAAATTCAAGATATATTTGAAATGTTATTTAATAAACGTGCAAAGTTTAGAATTAATGTTTTATACTTTTCTTTAAAAAAATTACCAAAAATCACTTTTATTTTCAGAGCGTCAAACTAGGAAGACCCCTTAATATATATCATTTTACTCTGTAAATATTTGAAATTACAAGAGAGCAGATTTTATTTCCACAGGAAGTATAAATAATTGTTTGACAATTGATGGTTTATCTGATTCTCCTGCACTGGTATCAGAAGACGTTCGCCAATTTAGAAAATTTTTAATATTTATGTCAACAATACAAGGTTTTGTATCAGTACGTCATAAAGATCAAGGTAAATGATTACTTTAGATATATCTTGCATAATTGAGACTTTTAATATTCTTTATTTCTATTAATATTCTATTTGTTCTACTCAGGTTCATGGTTTATACAAGAAGTTTGTAAAATTCTCAAAATTTATGGGAATCAGTTGCCTTTCATTGAATGCGTTAGAAAAATAATGACATCTATGCAAGAAAGAAATGGTAAAATAGAAGGAACTCAAGTTGTGCAATTGCCAGAAATACGCAATGATCGTTTAGATTCAGACTTTCAATTAAAAAGTATATTTAATCCTGCACTTTAAGTAGTAATCATGCATTTTAAATGTTTTTTTCTATATGTACATATGTAAAAAATGTACATATATATTAATATAATATATATGTATATTGATATAGTGTATATAAAATTAATTTTTGAAAAATAAGATAAATACTGTAATATAATAAATTTGAAGATATAGATTCAAAAAATAGTTAAATATTTTAATAAGATTTGCAAAAAATTTATTTATAGATTTTAAAATATGCTACTTTAAGTCTATATTCTACTCTTAAGAGAGAATTTATTACATTTTATAAATATTTGTCTTGTGTATTATTTTCAAAATATGCTAATTATACAACTATTTGTAAATATAGGAAGCGTTTTATATGTGAAAGGTATAAATAAAAGATTTTATTTGTAAATTAAGAAAAATACTTACAGATTATGTTAATAATAAGCATTTAAAACATTGTGACATACATTTATATATCAGGTCTACCGGAAAGTTCTGTCCGTTTTTGGAATAAAACAAAATACAAATTTTTATTACCGTCAATAAACTTTATTAAATAATGTAATTGCCATTATTCGGAGAAGTATTGTCAGCAACTGGATAATTTAAATACAGCAGTCCAAGAAAAGAGGCCGCCGATGTTCAATAGGAAGAACATCATACCGCATCATGATAATGCCAGGCCACATGCTGCTTTGGATACTCGTCAAAAAATTGCAGAACTAGGCTGGAAAATTCTGTCGCATCCACCATATTCCCCGGACTTAGCACCCTCCGACTATCACTTGTTTTTGTCCTTACAAAATTTTTTGAGGGGCAAAAAATTCAAAAATGAAGAAGATATCAAACAAGCACTGGTTCAATTTTTCGCATCAAAAGATAAAACATTTTTCGAAAAAGGGATATACAAATTGCCCTCACGCTGGCAAGAAATCATTAATAATAATGGCAATTACATTATTTAATAAAGTTTATTGACGGTAATAAAAATTTCCGGTAGACCTAATATAAAAAATTATGTATATTAAACTTTATTTTCTTGCGTGATGCAATAGAAAGAGATATTTCAATTACTGACAACAATTATAATTATTATCAATTGCTTCTAAATATTAATTATTTCTAAATGTATTATTAGCATAAGTTTATTAATACATGTTATTGTACATTGCTGTGTTTTTTTGAATTGAAGTATGCTTCAATTATCATGCGTATTACAAAATAATATAGAAATTCAAAGATTGACATGAGGCTGAAACCAGCAAACAATCCGAGTAAACCGCCGAATGATGCTAAAAATATTAATAGATATTATTATTCTTATGTAACCTTTTTTTTTAAACAAGCGTAGTAATAAACAGTATCTATCTTACCGAACAAATTACGCCAACTATAATTAACTGATTGTCGATACTGAAAGCCGACTAAATCGTTAAAGAATATATGTATTATACTATGATTGCGTATGCTGATGCCGTTACTGCAAAATATAATAGCAATATTATTAAAACATGCATAAATATATTTAAATCTGCATCAATTAGATTTTACAAGTTGTTAATTTCCATATTGCACATGTAGATCCTGAGAATGTTTTAAGAATATTGTAAAAGTTGTGTACTAAAACAGTTCAGAAATATTCGAGATATATACTGCAATATACTACTCAGTAAATACCGTTTGTTGCAGTAATATAACGTGGAAGTAACAAATAATATATATAACGTAAGTCACCTATATATAATAAGCTGTACAAATGAATAATCCAAAATTTTTTTAAACACTTAAAAAATTAATTTTAAAATCAATTGATTTTCCCGTTCTTTTGCGGTTATATATCATCGACAGTGTCACCGACGAGGTACTATTAAAGACCTTTTTCTTATTTGTATGGCTAGTTAGACTTCGCGAGCGAATATATACCTATACGCCAGTTGGTATTAAATGGACGTCCGCTTCTTGTAGATCTAAAGCGCTTGGCTTTTTTAGAAAAAGCGTATAGATAGCAAAATATTAGCAGCATGCTGGCAGATTGGCAGCAAATTTAATCAGAATCCCACACCAAAACCATAGCCATCTGTGTCTACATTAAGCTCGTGTTTTGTCGACAAAGCCTGCGACTAAGACAGGTAATGTGAGCACACAGTAGAAACTGAGCAGACTCTGCAGCTTCTAGACATTCATATAAAATGGTATTTAAATGGATTTAAAGGATCTCAATCCCAAGTAGCAAAATGACGATAAATTTTGGTCAAGAAATGATCAATTAGACATCCTAAGTTAGGTTTCATATGATACTAAAAAATGACGTCAATAGTCGACATGTCATATTCACGGGACGTCATTTTCTAACGTTTGTATTAATATAATATTAATAACATATATTAATGTAATATATATATAGGAAAATTTAAATAATTTAATTTATAAAATTAAAGATTTTATTTATATGGAAGTTAAAATTCTATTTTAAATCTTAAGTAGATAATAACGGACAGAAATTGTCCGAATAAGTGAAAATCGAACATTCATCTGTTCGATTTTCCAAAAATCAGTTCAATATCTGAATTCCTCGATACGGGAATCGTGTCAGATATTAAACTGGTAGAAATAATTACAATGTTATTAGCCGCATTTTGCAGGCTTTTTATATATATACGTTTCTGACAAGAACTTGAATACGCACACGGAAATTAATGTACATTAGATATCTACTGGATGTTCTCAATGTGCATTAGGGATATCCGTGAATATGTAGGAAATAGTTATTAGACATGCTTTAAATATCCAAATGTCCACAATACGAGATCTGATAAATATTCACAGGATATGTAAGCCAATATCCACTGGACATCCACATCGTCAGTATTCAGTAGATATTCATGTAGATATCCATTGTATGTTGGTTAAATTTTAGTCACAAAATGACTAATTAAATATTCTAAATTAGGTCTCAGGAGACCTGAAAATGACGTCAATATGTCACATTCACGGAACGTCATTTTCTGACATTTGTTTGACGGCAAAACTAAAACCAATTACAGTAATAATTATAATAACATATTAATATAATATATGTATATTATAGATAAATTTAAATAATTTAATTTATAAAATTATTAATTTCTGTTTTATGTTTTAAGCAGATAATAACGAACGATTTTCACTGATTCGGACAGAAATTGTCCGAATAAGTGAAAATCGGACATTATCTATCCGATTTTTCAAAAATCAGTTCCGTATCTGAATTTACCGGTACGGGAATCGCATCAGAAGTTAAACTAATAAAAATAATTACAATATTATTAACCAGTGTTGTTCTCGGGG